TATTTTGGTGCGCACTGGATGTTTTGGTATATTGTTGAGTCGTGTTCTATGTTGTGGTATATTGTTGTCTCGTGTTGTATACTTTTGTACCTATACGACCACCCTTCGGGTGATCAGAAGATTGTGTTGGGGGGGGGAGAGGGGAGGAACCAACATCTTACTCAATGGATCTCACTATCGATCTAACTCAACGGGACACCACGGGATACCACGGGACACCTGTCGATCTCACTATCGATCTCACTATCGATCTCACGCAACCGGACACCACGGGACACCACGGGCCACCACGGGACACCACGGGACACCGCGGGACACCTCTCGATCTCACTATCGGTTTCACTATCGATCTCACTATCGATCTCACTCAATGGGACACCACGGGACACCACGGGACACCACGGGACACCACGGGACACCTCGCGACACCACATCGATCTCACTATCGATCTCATTATCGATCTCACTCAACGGGACACCACGGGACACCACGGGACACCACGGGACACCACGGGATACCACGGGACACCCGTGGATCTCACTATCGATCTCACTATCAATCTTACTTTTTGGGACACCACGGGACCCCATGGACACCTCGGGGCACTACATCGATATCATTGTCGATTTCACTATCGATCTCACTATCGATCTCACTCAACGGGACACCACGGGACACCACGGGACACCGCGGGACACCACGGGACACCACGGGACACCTGTCGATCTCATTATCGATCTCACTATGGATTTCATTTTTTGGGACACCACGGAACGCCACGGGACACCTCGGGGCACCACATCGATCTCAGTATCGATCTCTGTGTCTATCTCACTATCGATCTTACTATCATTCTCACTATCGATCTCATTATCGATCTCACTCAACGGGACACCACGGGACACCACTGGACACCACAGAACACCTCGGGACACCGCGGGACACCGCGAGCCACCGCCGGACGGGCGGGCGGGGGAGAATCATTTGTCTTGACTTTGCCCTAGCAACGGCGGACACCACGGGACACCACCGGACACCACGGGGCACCACGGGACACCGCGGGACATCGCAAGCCACCGCCGGACGGGCGGGCGGGTGAGAATCATTTGTCATGACTTCGCCCTAGCAGCGGCGGACACCACGGGACACAACGGGACACCACGGGGCACCACGGGACATCGCGAGCCACCGCTGGATGGACGGACGGGCGGGCGGGGGATAATCATTTGTCTTGACTTCGCCCTAGCAACGGCGGGTTCATTCCTCTTGCGCACCCACGCAGCTTCGCCTCGCCCGCACGCACGACACGAACGAAACGAAAAGATTTCCTGGTTGGGGGTCTCCGTTCCACTGCGATCTCACCCCCCAACCTCCGATATTGCTGTATGGTGTTTTATCTTGTGGCATCTTGTGGTGTGCCCATGTATATTGTTGTATCGTGGTGTGCATGGTTATATAATGTTGAATACCGATGTATCTGATTGTAATTTGACGCAGATGGTTGTATAATGTTGTAGTTTGTTGTGCATCCTTGCATATTGTTGTAGTATGTTTTATAGTGTTGGATAGTGTTGAACAACGTTGTATAACATTTTCTAACGTTGTGCGTTCTTGTTTCTTATTGTATACGGTTATACCTATACGACCGCCCTGCGGGCGATAAGGAGCTTGGGGGGATTGAGATCAAATGCCCACCCTGACTGACCTGAGCCTGTTACCTTGATCTCATCTCTCTCTTTCTCTCTGCCTCTCTCTCTCTTTCTGTCTCTCTCTCTCTCTCGCCCTCTCTCTCTCTCTCGCCCTGTGGATTGGATCGGATGGGATAAGATGGATTGGATAAGATAAGATTGGTTTGATTGGAAGAGATGGATTGGATACGATAAGATGGATTGGATTGACCCGCCGCAGGCGCAGAAACAAACTAATTGATGTATTGGGTTGGATGGATTGGATTGTGTGGGATAAGATAAGATGGAACAATCTGGGTTTGATACGATAATATGTATTGGATTGGACAAGCTGTATTGGATAAGATAAGCTGGATTGGATAAGAGAGCCTGCCGCAGGCGCCGACAAAAATGAATTGATGGATTGGGTTGGGTGGATTAAATTGGATGGGAGAAGATTGATTTGATAAGATAAGATGGGTTGGATTGGAAGAGATGGATTGGATAAGATAATATGGATTGGATTGGCTCGCCGCAGGCGCAGAAACAAATGAATTGATGGATTGGGTTGGGTGGATTGGATTGGGTGGGATAAGATAAGATGGGACAATATGGGTTTGATAAGATAATATGGATTGGATTGGACAAGATGGATTGGATAAGATAAGCTGGATTGGATCAGAAAGCCCGCCACAGGCGCCGAAAAAAATGAAATATGAAATTAGTGACATGCGTTAGCGCCGGGACGCCCGGGACACCCAGGACACCCCGGACACCGCCCAGCCCAATTGGGACGCCTCCCGGCCACCGGCGGACGGGAAACGGACTTTCGCTCCTACTGACGCCCGGGACACCCGGGACACCGCCCGGCCCACTGGGACACCTCCCAGCCACCGGCGGACGGGAACGGACCTTCGCTCCCACTTCGGCCTAGCTACAGGAGGATCACGCGCAGTTTCGCCTCGCCCGCACGCACGACACGAACACGGAACCGAAACCGATTTCCCGGTGGGGGGTCTCCGTTTCACTGCGATCTCACCCCCCAACCTCCGACATTGTTCTACATAGTGGTATGTTGTTGCATACTGTTGCGTCTGGTTGTAAAGTGTTGTATACTGTTGGATCTGTTTGTGTGTATGTATGTATATATGTATATGGTTGTGTATGGTTGTATCTGGTTGTATAGCGTTGTATATTCTTATATATCATTGCGTATGTTTGTTCATTGTTGTAGATTGCTGCACATGGGCGGGGAGGGAGAGAGAGGTGCAGATCAGAAGAGTTGGAGAGGTTGAACCTCAACATCATCATCATCATCGCTATCTTCACCACCAACAGCATCACCATCATCATCGTCGTCGTCTTCGTCGTCGTCACCGTCACAATCATCACCATCGTCATCATTATCGCCACTGTCGCCATCGTAACCATCTCGTTGATAATGAGCATCACCAAGAACGGCATCATCGTCATCGTCATCGCACTCGTCATCCGCATCATTTCCGTCTTCATCATAATCGCCATCTGTCACCATCGTCATCACCATCATTACCATCATCATCACAGTCATCGTGACCGTCGTCTTTATCATCGTCATCGTCGGCACCGCCGCCGCCACAATCGCCATCGATATCACCGCCAGCATCAACATCAACATCAGTTGGGGGTGCTGAGGAATACCACATGGCCAGTAACATCATCATCATCATAATCATCACTACTATCATCATCAATATCCCCATCATCATCACCATCGCAATCATAACCTCGTCTTCATCATCATCATGGTCATCATCATAATCAACATAACATGTATCATCATCACCATCATCACTCTTATCGGCAGCATCGTCCTCAGCATCAGCATCGTAACCATCACGTCATCATCATCATCATCATCATCATCATCATCATCATCATCATCATCATCATCATCATCATCATCATCATCATCATCATCATCATCATCATCATCATCACCAACATCATCGCCATCGTCGTCACCATGAACATCGACAGCGTCGTCGTCACCATCGTCACCCGTCATGGAAGAGAGGGAGAGGGGCAGTCCACGCAAGGAGTCTTGCCGTCGATCAGGACGAAGCCGTCCTGGACGTGCTGCTCCGTGACATCCGTCGCAGCGGCGATGTGCTCGAAACGGATGCGCTCCCCAAGCGCCTGCGGCGCCCTGGCCAACGGGACAACCGTCGCAACCGTCACGGTCGCTGCGGCCGTCTACACAGCCAACACGAAGAACCCCATCGCAGCCACGGCGCCGCGGCGGCTGCTGCGCACTGCCGGACGCGCAGGCGGAAAAAAGGAAAGGTAGGACAATCATATGAGATGGTCTGGCCCTGCCAAAACGCCACTCGAGCCCATCCGCCGCTGCGATGACGATGGTGACGACGACAATGATCATGGTAATGGTGGCCGTGGCCAGGAGGGGGAGGAGGAGGAGGAGGAGGAGGAGGAGGATGAGGAAAAGGAGGAGGAGGAGGAGGAGGAGGAGGAGGGAGGAGGAGAGGAGGAGGAGGAGGGGGAGGAGGAGGAGGAGGAGGAGGAGGAGGAGTGGGGGAGGAGGAGGAGGAGGAGGAGGAGGAGAGGAGGAGGAGGAAGGAGGAGGAGGAGGAGGAGGAGGAGGAGGAGGGAGGAGGAGGAGGGGGAGGGGGAGGAGGAGGAGGAGGAGGAGGAGGAGGAGGAGGAGGAGGAGGAGGAGGAGGTGGAGGAGGAGGAGGAGGAGGAGGAGAGGAGGAGGAGGAGGAGGAGGAGGAGGAGGAGGAGGAGGATTATTATGAGTAAGTAGGAGTGAGGAGTATAATTACTAGTCTTTAGTAGTGAGGTGGTATTCTTGATTAACATGTTGCACATGGTATGCGGAGGGATGGGTCGGATGCGGAGTTGCTGAGCGGAGGCGGAAGGCTGATGCGTAGGATTAGGATGAGGGGGAGGAGGTCATGATGAGGATGCATGATGAGGATGCGGATGCGGATGCGGGATGCGGATTGCGGGTGGCTGATGCCCGGGGGGTGGGTGGGAGGTACGAGGGAAATATTCCGGAGGAGGTAGGAAAGATGAGTAGGAGGAGTAAGGGAGTGAGGAAGGGATGAGGAAGGAGGAGGGAGGAGGAGGAGAGGGGATTAAAGGATGAAGGAGGAGGACGAGGATGAGCGGAGGCGCGCCTCGGCCTTCTGGTGCCCCTTCCACGAACATCCAAGACGCCCCTGGGTAATTGATATAATATTGTCCCGCGCAAGTGCCCGCCCCCTCAGACCCCCCCCCACGGGCCACCCCCCACCCCCCCCCCCCCCCCCCCCCCCCCGCCCACCCCACAGGCGTTCTCGTGCTTGGTGGCCGCGGCTGGCCTCTTTGGCTTCTGCCACGCCAGCGACGCCAGCGCGGTCCGCCGCCCCAGGGGAAGGCGGAGGGCTCCCGCTCCCTCTGACCTCTCCTGGTCGCCCGCCCTCTCCCTCCCCCCCACCTCCCATTCTGCCTGACATCCCTCTCCTCCGCCTCCCTCCCCTCTCCCTGCTCTGCCCTTTGTGGCCCCTAACACACTCCGCGTCACCTCCTTCCGCCTCCCCCCCCTCCTAACTCCTCGTCCTCTCTCGCTCTTTCCCCCTCCCCCCTCCCCCTCCCCCTCTCCCTCCCCGTTCTCACTCAACCTCCTTTCCTCCTCCTCCTCCTCCTTCCTCCTCCCCTCTTTCTCTTCAAAAAAATCCGCCTGCTCCTCCTCTCCTGCGTCTTGCTCCCCTCCCTCCTCCTCCTCTCCTCTCCTCTCCTCCTCCTCCTCCTCCTCCCTCCTTCCCCTCGTACTCACCCCTCCTCCGCCTCCTCCCCCTCCTCCTCCTGCCTCCTCCTCCTCCTCCTCCTCCTCCGCCCTCCTCCTCCTGCCTCTCCCTGCCTCTACCTATCTCCCCGCACCTCCCCCTCCCCAAACAGACCCCTCCCCCATCCCCTCCTCCATCTCCGCGCCCCGCTCGCGGCACGCCGCGCGGAGGCCTCCTTTGCAGTTCCTCCCGGGCCCCGCGCGTCGTAGTGGCTCTTTCTTGGGGGACGAACAGGGGCGCGCGCCGAAATTCATTCCAAACGAAATTGCGCATTCTTTTTGATGGTTTCAGTGTGCAGGCGCGCCCTGCCGCGCGGTGGTTCCTTGGCCGCCTTAAAGCGTATTGGATTTCGCGTAACACGAGGCATTCCATCTGCACGTTGGCTCAATGCGGCATGGGTCCATCCACCTGGAGGCCCCTGGCCCTCTCAGCAGGCGACAGCGTGGATGGCCGCGCAACGGCGGGGCGATGCAAGGGGGGCAGCGGGGGCTGCCGAGAAGGCACCCTCGGGGGCCCCGCGAGGGGGCCCCGTGGTGCCCCAGACCAGAGGGGGCCTTCAGGGCCCGAACAAGGGTACTCCAGATTTCGTAATAAAGGGAGGGGGGTCTCATTTCGGGGGGGGTCTCTTCCAGGCTATCTTGGAGGGTTCTCCCACGGGGGAGGTCTGAAATGGCTTGCTTTGGAGGGTCCAGACCCCCTCCCTTTTATTAGGAAATCTGGAGTAACTTTCTCTCCCCCCCCTATTCTTCAGCGCCCCCCAGTACTTCGCGCCCGGGGCCCTCTCGGCGACCCTCCCGGGCGGCGACGGAGCCGCATGGATGGCCACCACGAGCGCAGCAGCCCTGGACCTCCGGCGGACACGCTTGGCCCCTCGAGCCCCTCCCCGCCGCCGCTCCTCTCGCCTCCCGCCGGTGCGCCTCCCCGCTCCCCCCCCCCCCACCCAGACGACGCCGCCGACGACGCCGACGCCGACGACAACGACGCCGACGACGACTCCGATGCCGACGCCGACGACGCCGACGACGCCGACGACGACGCCGGCGCCGACGACGCCGACGCCGCCGACGCCGACGACGCCGACGACGACGACGCTGACGACGCCGACGACGACGACGACGACGTGTTCCCCCCCTGCTCAGCTACCCTGCCCCTTGGCCCTGCCCCCCCTCCGCCCTCTGACGCTCGGGCGGGGTGGCGCCCAGATGCGCGATGCTTAATTTTTTTTGTCGCAGCGTCGACCCCCCAGAGGTCGCGACCCACTCCCTGGGACTCAGTTCATCCCGAGCCGTTTTTTGGCGCCCCCGGGGGGCCTGGCGAGGGCCCTCCGGGGCCGCAAACGGGCAAAGCCGTCCTTTTTGTTTCACGACGCTAGCATTGTGGCAGCATGCTGCAAAATAAGTTCCAGAGGTCTAAGACATGTTTCAAACATGTTTTAAATATATAAAACACGTTTGAATCATTTTTACTACATTTCTTATTGCATTTTCAACACATTTTAATTCAATGATAGGATTGTTAGAGTGTCCCTTGTCATGGCATCCACACCGCTAGCATGTCTCGGGGGGAGTTTTTGGATCACTGCTCGGGCCTCCCGCGGCCGTTCGGGATGATCATGGAAGGCATCCTGACCCTCGGATCCAACGGCACGAAAAAATTGAGACATCGCGTTGATCACCACCAGAGCCCTGGATCGCATCTTTCCGCGCCAGTTTTCGAGCCGGATCGATCTGTGAGGGTCCCAGGGCCCGAAATCAGGCGAAAATGCCTGGCCCGAAAAAGTTGAGATGTCAGGATCTCAGGAGAGGCTGCAAAGCCGCCAAGGACCGACGAAGACGTCCCAAAACCTCGAGCCTCGAATCCGTAGCCATTTTGGCTCAAGGTTGCCCCAAGGCAGCCGCACACCACTGAGAGAAGCTGGGGCACCGAGTAGCGAAACCACGGAGAGGCATGGCTCGCCTCGCTCTGGCTCTTGTGCTGGTGGTGTCCGCGCGCGCGCGCTGGCGGACGAGGGCTGTGCCGCCGACGGCACGTGCCAGGTCGAGGAGGCCGAGGTCTCCGCGCTGCTGCAGAGCTCGGCCGCGCGCAGGGCCGACGTGGCCCAGCACGGCGCCGCGAACGCCACCACTGAGACGACCGCGCTCACCTGCTACCCGAACTACGCGGCTGCCACCTGCGGCGGCGCCATGAAGTGCTTCCAGGACGCTACGGGCTGCACCACCTCCGGGGCCGGCGTGTGCTGCAAGGCGGCGGGCAAAGGGCGAGGCCTCGACCAGAGCAAGTACTGCGGCGACGCGACCTGCGGCCCGTGCCCTGGAGGCCCGGTTCCGACCCCGACGCCCGCTCCCGGCCAGTGGCAGGGCTTGTGCTGCGGCAACCTCGTGTGTAAAAGCCCCAGTACGCCCCGGTCAGCGCGTCCAAGGCTTGCACCTGGCCCCCACCTGCACCCAGGCCTGCGCCCACGCCGTCGGGCAACCAGGTCGGGGAGAAGTGCGGCACGTGGGGGAGCACTGGCCAGTACTCTGGCCCATGCGGGCCCAGCCCCGTGTGCGCCCCCCCGGCGAACGTCATGCCTGGCACGCCCAACGTCTGTGCTAACATTTGCGGCAGCTTCGGCTAGGACGGGGACGCCGTGACCAGCGGGTGCAACCGCATGCATTCTTGCAGCTGCAGGGCCAAGACGCCGTGCTCTCCCTGGAAGCCTGGCGCCGAGGGGTGCTAATTACGCGTATTGCTGCTGAGTGATTCGGGGGCTCACTGTGGCCCGCGTGCCCACTATGCAAGAGATGGGAGCGGCAGCAGTTCAACGGCGCCTGACAGCAAACTCTTCTTTGGGGCATCTGTGTGTGGCCAGGGTGTTTGACCGCCTCCTCTTCCTCTCGGCCGTCCCTTCCCCCCTCTTTGCCCGCCGGCCACTTCGCTAGTTTGTGCCCCTTTCTAGCCTCTCACTGGAGAGGCGTCCGCCGCCTCGCCGCCGACGAAAAAGGTGTGGCCAGGGTGGCCTCTGCGCACGGCGCAAGCGCACGTCTCGTGGAGGTGGAGGAGGAGGAGGGAACTGAGGGAGAGGTCAGGGAAGCCCTATCCTCCAGGGCTGCGTGGGGGGAGGAGCTGCCAGCCGCCAGCGCCCAGCTTCAGCTTCTTGTCGCCCGCGCCTCCGAGTGCGCAGTCCCCTTTTGGACGGGGCGGCGCGAGGCGGAGCGGAGGCAGGGTGGCAGCGGCTCCCCCGTGGCCACCCCTTCCCCGCTCTCAATTTCAGACGTGCCCTGATTCGCTGACGTGCGAACAAAGAAAACCTCGAGCCTCGAACCTTGAGGGCGTCCTGTTCGTCTCGTCGTCGTCGTCGTCGCCGCCGTCGTCGTCGTCGTCGTCGTCGTCGTCGTCGTCGTCGTCGTCGTCGTCGTCGTCATCGTCGTTACGTCGTCGTCGTCGTCGTCGTCGTCGTCGTCGTCGTCGTCGTCGTCGTCGTCGTCGTCTCCTCCTCCGCCTCCTCCTCCTCCTCCTCCTCCTCCTCCTCCTCCTCCCCCTCCTCCTCCTCCTCCTCCTCCTCCTCCTCCCCCTCCTCCCCCTCCTCCCCCTCCTCCTCCCCTCTGCACTGCACTGCAGCGTCGTCGCCTAATCAGCGCGCCCGTCCGCCCGCGAAGGCGGGCGGCCGGGCGCTGCCATTGGAGGCCTGTTTTCCATTCGGCCTGGGTCAGGGTTTGCGGCTTGCAGGCCACAGGGTTCAGGCGATCTTGGCGTGTTTTCTCGGCGACTGCAAAGGGTGTGGCTTCGCCAGGGTTTGGTTTCGCTGGGGTTTCGTTAGGGCCTGGGGGGCACGACGCTGTCCTCGTCGGGTCTCTCTTCGCGGGGGGGGGAGGGGCGGAGACGTTTATTGAGGTCCCTGCCCGCCCCCCAGGGTGCCCCCCCAGGGTGCCGGTTGCATGGGCGCATCGTTGGGCGCATCGCTTGGCATTGGTTGGCCTTGCTTGGCCTTGCTCGACCTTGCTTGGCCTTGCTTGGCCTTGCTTGGCCTTGCTTGGCATTGGTTGGCATTGGTTCGCTTTGCTTTGCATTGGTTGGCCTTGCCTTGCTTGGCATTGCTTGACGAGGAACCCGAGGAACCCGAGGAACCCAGCGAGCCCGAGGAGCCCGAGGATCCCGGGGAACCCGAGGATCCCGGGGAACCCGAGGAACCCAGGGGAACCCGAGGAGCCACCGAGGAACGGACCAAGTAGCCTGCCGAGGCGGTGGCCTTTTCAAACGAAGTAAGAGCACCCTCTCAGCCACGCCTCCTTGGGGGAAGGACAGCGTCGCGCGGCCGGGCACCCTCTCCCTTGCCCCTCTCTCTTCCCCCTGCTTCTCCCTCTCCCTTCCCCTCTCCCTTTTTCCCCTCCTCCCTCCGCCGCCGCCGCAGGGGGGCGGCGCGCGGTGGTTGAGTCCTCAGCCGCGTCTTTTCGTCGGCACTTACGCTCGGGCTCACTGTTGGGCTGACGAGGACAGCAGAATCCTCGTGGCAAGCCCTCCCTCCCCTGCTTCCCTCCCCGCCTCTCCTCGCTGCGCCCCGCTCCCCCGCCGCTCTGGAGAGCCCAGTGATC